TCTACAGTGCTTAAAACAGAAAATTGTGTGTTTTGGCAGCATGTATCAATTTGATTTCCTAATACTTGCTTGAGCAGTTGCTTGATTTATAATATAAGTCTTGTCTATGAAAACATCAAATTCAATTTTGTTGCACATGTTTTTATTTCTTTCAAAAAAATCATATTCCAAGTTTGCTTTAGCTGGCTTGAACTGATTAAATTTCTTGTCAGTAATTTACTTAATGCGGAGATGTTTTGAAGCTTGCAAGAAGTACTCTTTCCTATCTCTCCTCTAACCCTCCACTCTTGGAGAGTGTGGAATTGTTGATAAGTCATTTTGGCAGCTTGGCAAGAGTAATCATTTCCCTCCAGATGTTGAAGGTTGGGAAGGAACCAAAAGGGAGTGTAGAACAGGAAAGGAACAGGGAAAAAAATACATTTACACCACCACCAGTTCCACCCCTCTGTACATGAAGTCATCTATTCCTCCCTCCCCAAGGCTCCAAGTCTCACCTCCTCCACACCACTCTGCTGAATCTTTCCCTCCCTTCTTGCTCTCTGCTCTACCCATACAGCCTCACTGTATCCCAGGTGGTAGCCAGGGCAGGTTGTGTTTACTGCTGAGGTAATTGGAGTAGTTTGGAGAGTCTGACCCTGTCCCTGCTAAGGCCTAAGATATGTGTGTGTGTGTGTGCTTGTGTGTGTGAATACTCATGTGTGTGTATGCCTGTTTGTGATGACTGGCAGTGAGGGGGAGAAAGCAAGCCCTAGCCAGAGTCAGCCCACTAGGGAAGAGACAAATTGGCTTTCACTACGCTGTCTGTCTTTTCTTGTCTCATTTTCTCCAGCTATCCCTTTCTTATCTCTTCACATCTCTTGACAAACTCAAATATAATCTTTCATGTTTTTCCTAGTACTTGCTCTACAGCACTTTTTCCCTTTCCTGAACTCTTTTGTTCCACCTCCTTATGTTTCTGTCTTTGCTCATCATTTCTGACCTAAGCTGTTAGCCAGGTTCCACAGATGGCGACTTTTTCCAAAAATGAGCAAAAGCTCTTTCCCCCTGTTGTAGCCATAAACATGAGCAGATTCATTCCATCCATCCCAGGCTCCTACAGTATTTTTTTTTAATTGGCCTGGCTTGGTAAAGGTCTGAATAAGGGCTCATTCAACTGTTTCTTATTGTCATTCTAATGTACATGCATAACAAACTATTAAACATAAGCCCTCTTGTTTGTAGTAATTGATATTGGCTACAGTTTGTATTTATCTATGCTGTGGACAAGCTTGGGTCAGAAGAGTCACTAAGTGGTGAAGCGTGACAGTGATTTTTCATGCATCAAGTGATATCATTGCAGCGTGGTCAGGTAGGCAGTGGGACATGGCTCCTCTACTTTAGCTCATCACACTCTCATCTCCCTTCTCTTCCCTTCCTATTTTCTCGTTTTCCCTCATCCCTCTGTCTTGCTTGTCGCTGATAGCTTTTACCGCTCTGCTGATTTCACAAATAGGCCTCATTGATTGAATCAGATTCTTGTGGATAGAGCAGCTTTATTGAGTGACTTTTTCACTGATGGACAGCAGCATGAGGGTGTGTATGTTTGTCACAGACTTGCATGTGTGAATGTTTGGGATAAGACAAAACTTCCTTGTCTTATTTTTCTCTTTCTAATCCAGTAGGCATCTTTCTCTGGGGTATTCCAGCAGTTAGGTCATTACACACACACTGCATGGCTCACACTCACAATCTTCGTGACACTTCCCCCCTGAGTGGATGCTTTATTACAGGTTGTGTATGCTGACTGAGGAGTCTGTTAATTGTCACGACACTTTGAGCAAGGCAACATTAAACAGGTAACTGCTCTCTCCGGTACAATTCATCATTCATTTAAGCTGTGCATCTATCGTAGGAAGCTGTGTCAGTATACCTAGAGCAACATGATTAAAGCTTCTCTACAACACTGTCGGCAGGAGCATCTTTTGGCTTCTTCTGATCTCAAAGCTTCTGTTCATTTTAAATGTGCCGTCCTTGTTGCGCATCTCCGACCATGTTTCTAATGTCACTATCACTGGTTTGAAAGAAAACGATGTTAGAGAAAAATAATATGTTGCAGGACAATAGTTTTGTTTCATACATGATCATTAGCTTGTTTGTATATGAAACGGCAGTGATCTGTTGGGGATCGGTGGCTTTAGCCAACACTCTGTGTTAGTGAGAAAATCAAGCTTCATCCTCTGCCCTCCATTGAAGATACACACACACACCTCATTCTAGCTGCAGCGTCTGTGTTCTTCCCCTTTTGTTGCCCTCTATTTTGTGTCTTTCCACTCTTTAACGGGCAGCATGCCACCTCTGCAGAGTTGGATAGATTGTGGCACCCTCTTCCCTTGTGCCTATTTAACCCCCACCAACCGGCAGATCTATCATAATAGAGCCTACATAAACACACACGCAACTCTAAAGATTCATTCATTTGTCCTGATTTGCATTCTGCTACTGAGAAACTCCTGAAATCTGTCCATCCATTTTCTGTACTCGTATTGCCCTGTTCAGAGTCACGGAGTGCAGGAGGCTGTCACATCTGCCATCGAGCAGGGTGCACCCTGAACTGGTCACCAGTTCATCACAAGGCTCAAACTCTGAAAATCATCTTTGCTAATAAATTATTACCACTATGTAGACTACATTATGATGAACTTTAACCCTTAGTATAGACCAAAAACAGACGTCACATATATTTGGTTGTTGACACATGTTGTTGTGATATCCTGTGCACAGTCAACTGAGAAATTACTCATTTTTGTGAGTTATTGTTGGGCAGAAGGTTTGCTTGTTCAGGAATGCTTACAATGTAACTCCTTTCAGCATGTTTGAAATTGTTTATGAAGCTTTTTGTGTAGAGAAAATGGCAAAGATAAATGCTAGATGGATTTTAGTAAAAAAAAAAAAACTTATTGACCTTTGCAAGTAATAAACTTACAATTCAGATCTTGTATGGTTACCATATAATCTCAGCTGGCTTGGCCCACTTTCGAAGAATCGCTGACACAGTTTTTGGAGAGACGCATACAAAGAAGAAAATACTGTATATTATTAGTCTCATAATAATCATTAGTAAGTCATACCAGGCTGTTTATGTTTTCAATTCTTAAGGTGAACCAGATTAAAGTGAAAATGAAATGGTTGTTTATTGTACCGTGAGTCTCTGATAAACGTGTTTTTACCTTTTTCTGTCGTTCTTTATTTTAGCGTTGTAATGTGAAAATCTCTTGACAGGAGAAAAAAGAAAATAGCACATTGAATTTAGCAAATGGAAAGTTTATTTGTTGGCAGCTCTGCAATTTACTTAGCAGTGCACATACACAAAAAATGTACAGCTAGATACAGTGACTGCTCTGGTGACACTACCTTACATTTAAGGCTACATACTCCATTCGAAGCTAAACGGTCGACTTGCGGTCACATGGTTACGGGACTTGCGTTTACGTCCATACCTTTTACTGTCCATGAGACACACAGCCCAGAGCTCTTGGGAACCCCCTCTCTTGGGTTTCTTCCTGCCAGAGTGTCCACTCCGCCCCTGCACCTGCCGTTTGGCCACAAATTTGTCATGAAGAAAGCGCCACACTTTTCAGCAAACTGACTCCTCCATACACAATGAACGTTTGTGCAATCTCCGTCCGGTTTTGTCCATTTGACTAATTTAATGTGACTGAAGAGTCGTAAAGCTGAATGTCCGAGCGCATTTCCACATTGATGAACACGCCCACAAACCTCTAACCAATCACACAACACTTGGCACGTTGGCCCATGAGAAAATGTGTGTCCCGGGTCTTGTGTGGAGAAGAAACAGGTGAAGCTACTATGAGGACAAAATGCCGTGATTTTTTGTCACCTTCTGCGTCAATGAAAGCAGATTTCACTGTTTTGGATGGAGTATGCATGGCCCTTTAGTAAAGGGGGGGAAGCCACTGTCACTTTCTCTTTTGCTTCTCTGTGGTTGTGTTGAAGTGGAGTCTCAAGGGAGGGCTTAACTCTGAGCCCTCATTTTCCCCTTCTTTCCCCTTTATCCTTTATTTCCTTATTGTTCTTTGAATTGAGCTACAAACATTTGTTGAACTATGAATTTGTCTAAAAGCCTGGCTCTTCCCATTGACTCAGCGGAAAAATGGGATTTAGCTTTCTTGAATCTCATTGCTTTGTTCGCACATAGATGCATTGCGTATGTGGCTGAGCATTTGTGAGTGGTAATACTAAGCGAAGAAGCCTGAGTTTTAACACTGCAGCAAAAGGCATAAAATCAATAGTTCACTTAAGGTTGACCTTAGGTCAGCAAGACTTCACACACTCGTCTTTGCACTCCTCACTTTGGAAAATAATTCAAAACAACCCAGTTTATGGTGTACCACCTGGAAAATCACAGGGACTTTTTTGTTGTCATGGTTATTGAGTGTTCAGTAGCTCTGGGGGAAATGGAGTTTGGGGGCGGAAAGGGAAAACTGAGAGGAAAGAGTTTGGAATGGATGGGTGTAAGTAGGAGGTGGGGTGCTATCTTAATTGGTTTCTGTGAATAATTTCAGTCCCCTAATTTGACGATAATGACAGTGGCTGCTGCTTTTGTATTTATTTATCCAAACATTAATTGACAGGACTGACATTAGCCAGGGCGGTTATTGCGAATTTGATTGCGCACAAGGGAGCAAAGAAAATTACAGTAATTACCATTCTGATATGGATTATGAATATGCATTCTCACACTTAATGTCTCTGTCAGCATTTTAGCAACAAGGAGACACTCTGGAATGACAACAGCACTTTGGCCTGCTCCCATTTTTAAATTAAATCCAACTAGAGTAGTGAGCTGCATTGAAATGTTTTAATGTTTTATTTGTCCTTGCATTTTAACACCCGGGTAAGGTGAACTAACTGTATTATATATTGTTTTAGTTGGCCTTTAAATGTACCCGTTAGTCTGCATTGACGTAAAGTTAAAGCACAACATTTTTTTTTTTCCTCAGGCCGAGGGTGAAGACAATTTGAAGAAGATGCAGCTAATGGAGTTAGCTATACTCAATGGAACATACAGAGACAACAACATTAAAACATGTAAGTGAACTTCAAGCAAAATGTGTTTTGTATGTCCCTAATTTTCATAATCCTTCTGTGTTGTAACATACATCACTAATCGTTTCACTACATACACCAGCCTTTCACAATAACCCTGTTTACCCTCTAAATCTATTTTGCCCATTAAGATCTGATGTTTATTTACCCTCAAGTTAACTGCAACCACACTGGATCACTTACATTCATTTCAATTATATGCAGAACTGCATTTGTCCTGTTTCTTTCCTTTTTGCCATCCATCCATTCATCTGCCTGTTCATCCTTTCTGCTGCGCACCTTATACATCAGCTTTGCGTTGCTTGTTCTGAACTTTTCATCACGTTGCTGAGTTCAGCTGTCTAACTCTGCTCATCAGAAACTGGATCACATCAAACATTTAACTTACAAATACTTACTCACGTTTCAGCTCTGACATGCATGCTCTTTTTGATTCCTAATGTTTGTCATTTGGAAACGATTCAAAGTCGGGTAAAAACAAAAAAGTGTACTCAAATTTACAAAAATGTAAGTTTAAGTGGTCAGTTCCTGTGTTTATTTATTTTTATTTAACATCTGCTCACATAGCACTGATTAAAATTCATGTTCCCCCTTATTTGCTGTTACAATAGCACATAATTGTATATGACTGTGAAGAGGTGTATGGCACGGCTCATAGCACCTGCTAATGCATATTCGCCTAAAAATGTTCTTCACATCCAACATAAACTGACTGTTGACTGCATAAATGATCTGATTTAGAGAATGAACTTTATATCTAAAATCCAAAATAGTCCAAATTTCTTTTAGGCGCTGTTTTCAGATACAGTCAGCCAGTCCATTTCTGTTGGCATGTTTGTCATTTATCTTACTGTGCCTTTTCTGTTAGATAAATATATTGCTGCTATGGTGATCTGTATGCTTTATTTGCATTGGGACGACTGCTGTATTTTGTGCTCATATGTTCTGGTGTGCGGGTTTTTAATTTTGTTTGGCTATGTTGATTTTATTGATTTTGATTTGCAGCAAACTGTCGCTTTTGTGGTTCACCACCATGATCATTGCATGGACTAATTTTCCCCTTGTGCTCCTCTCCTCTCCTCTTCTGTTCACTCTACTTTTCCGTCTTTGTTTCTTTCTACACCCCACCCCCACTCTTCATCTGTGATTATGATCAATCACCCTACACTTTGTCTTTTTCTTTCTTTCTACACCTGTCCTTTGCTTTCTTGTTTATGGCAGCCGCCCTTGCGTTCTCTCTTGCAGCGGCGGCAGTAGCCGCACAGGGCCCCCGTCTCATAGCAGCTCCAGCAGGTCAGGTGTTGCCTCCTCAGGCACTCCGGCCTCCGACACCAGCTGGAACCCCCATCATGAACATCATTCGGCCTACTCAGATGGCTGCCATGCTGCCCAATGGCACCCCCACCCTGGTGCCTCCCACACCGGATGCTGGCCTAATCTACACCACCCCCTACGATTACCCTTACGCCTTGGCACCCACCTCGCTGCTGGAGTACCCCATCGAGCACAGTGGGGTTCTAGGTAAGAGAGCCTGGGGAAGCATGGCTGCAGCAGGTGCAGCGGCCAACTTTAGCCAACCTGGACAGGAGGGCAGCTTGTTTTACCCTGGAGCTGGGATGCTGGATGCAGCTTCCCTGAGCCACAGTCAGGACTTATTGAAAGGTAAATATGTTGTGACCACCTGAAGATCAAAACAGACAAACTCACAGGGTGGATGTGCTGGTGTCACTCTGTGATGGTGGGACCAGCAATGTGGCTCATATGGACTTCATTATATTAAAAAAATGCTAAATGGGGACATAAATTACCATGAGTTTTGGGCTGTTGAACTGTCTTTATACTCTTTACCAGAAGTTATTTCACTGTTTTAGTTACAGCACTCTTACCAAAAGAATGTGCTCAGGTTTACATTGCCTCTTCTGCAAGGTTTATAGAAGAATTTTCCTCTGTATAAACTGAGACACGCTGACAGAAACCCACTTTTCATACATGCAGCCTGCTCTCTAACCTTTTCATGCACTGGCCTGGAGGCATATTCAGTCTGGCGGCAGATCCCCTCGGATTTCTGCAGCTTTTGAAATCATTTCTCTGTGCTGTTCTCTGCAGGCAGGCCTTGATGCCTGTAGATAGTCCCTTTCTCACTCCCACTGGGGATGTTCATTAAATTCCTCCAATCTTTACATTTTTTTCCTCCATTTTCCTTCCTCTCCATTGTCTTAGCTTCACATCTGTAGAACTTGAGTCTTTGCGTTTATACCTGACATATCCCTTTAGTTTCTGTGCCAGTAAGGACAGGTAAATATGTGGCTCCGTAGTTTATTCTCAATGGTGCTTAAAGCTCAACACATCTGCTACCAAAGAATCATCTGTACGACTTTTGGCTATTCTAAACTGTGCAGGATGTGTTGTGTTGAGATTGCAGTTAATAAAAGTACAGCTGATTTTTTTAGTCACGAGACAAAGGGGTCTGGGTCGGTTGTTGAGTTTTATGTTTGACACATTAATGTTGGTCATAGTGTCATGCGGCAGCAGCAGACACAAATGTGATTTTAGCTGATCAGTGCATCTGAGAGGCCTCTGGGAGACGTGTAGAACAGACAGAGACAGCTGACTGGCTTTTCTTTCTTCAACTTGCAGGGTTACACCAGCTTAGTGCACTTTATTTACTCACACTATCGATTGGTGCCTTCAGCAACACAAGGCCCTGAGAATCATGCTAACGCTCTTAAATAGAGTTGGGGCCAGTCCGATCCAATATCGATATCCGCTTCCAATACTGACGTCATTCCTGTATTGAATATTTGATTGAGGCCATAAATCCATTTGTTGATTCAGATGTCATGGTCTTGTGTCGCTGCAGTTTATATTTTTAACTGATGACATAGTGAACGTTTAAGCTTACACCTAAAAAGAGTTAGCATATTTTAATTATAAAACATTAGTCCTACGTACAGTAAGTATCTTTGTTGGGCACATTTTGTGAGTTTTAAGAAACACAGGTGGAGCTTTGTACATGAATCTGCCACCAAAGAGGAGCATTCTGCCTGCTGGAGTCTGCTTGCTCAGCATGACGCTTTTGGAAATATTTGAATGTTGACAGAGGAAAAAACAATCTAGAGTATAACAACATAAACAGATTGGAAAACGTTAGTATCCGCAGATATTTGAATTCAGATATTGGGATTGGATCGGAGCAAAAACAAGCAGGTCGATGTATGTCTACTCACTCTGTCTCTTTCTTACTGTCTCACCTTAAATTGGGCTCAGCTGCATGTTCTACTGCGTCCAAACATCTCATCAGAAATATCAGACCTGTCTGCTACTTCAGAACAGTGTAGTTACTTAGTTGAAACTCAAACATTTCTCTTAAAAATACAAGAAATTTCTTCTTGGATTTATTTTGCCCAGTTTTCTCTCTTGAGAGCTGAGCGCATCGTAGTTTCGTAATACTTGAACATACTGTGATGCACAAACTGTGTGTTTGTGTCATGTATATGAGGCCGTGACAACCGGTGCAGTAAAAACAAATCAGTTACGACAAAAATAGTTGGAAAATGACAGCCTTTGCCATCAGCTAGCAGATTGACCTGGAGAGAAATGGTGAGAGCAGCAAAGAGAAAATGAAGGAGAGAGCGAGAGGCAGGTGCTGTCCGCCACCATTCAATTACCATCAGAGCTGTATTGGATTTCCCCACCTTTCAAAATAAAGAGACAAATTTCTCTCAGCTCTGCTTTGGATCCCACAAGAAGAATCATTATTTTTCTAGACAAACCAAGAGCCCATAACCTTTAGCTAGTTCCCCCTTTTTCCAAAAAGTTCCCATATAACTCTGAACACTGTGGATTTTTAGTACTTAAGTTATGCATTTTTAAAAACAAAGCAAATCTCCAAATAGATGTATTATTTTTTCCTACAAAGATTTTGTACGTGTAAAAAAAAAAAAAAGATCTGTGTATTGTGTATCTGTAATATAATCCGTATTAGGTTTTGTGTATTGTATAATCTTAAGCATTATAAATCATAAATGTTGAAATGTGAATGTTATTACTGGAAAAAAAAAAATGACTGTTTCTCCTTTTCTCAAAGTGAACGGTTTCTAACCTTGTGGACCTGTTACAATCTAGGTGCAATGGCTACTAAAGTGAGACGGCATGACACGCGGGTCCATCCTTACCAAAGGATTGTGACCGCTGACAGAGGTCAGTTTAGTCTCTTAGCTACATTTTGCTATCGAGTGCATTTCTATGATTTTGATGCCTATTATGCCTCACTGCCTTAGTCGGGGATTTGTACATTGTATGTATTGTATTTTGTTTTGTTTTCCTTTCCCTCTGAAACCTTTCCTATACATCCACACACCAGCTAAATGGTTGGGTGGTATGCACATTTTGTTTACATTTAGTACTTAAAATTTACAGTTTGTGTAGACTGTGTATATTTTAAAGCTCAGGCAAAAGTGATCTTAAGAGATTTCAGTTCATGCAGCTGTGAAGCCAGGACAGGTGAATACTTTACAGGCAGTATTTAAGGTGTAGAGTGACATTCCTCTGAGGTGAAATTAGAACCTAAATGGAGCAAGCTTGTTCCCATACATGATTTATCTCCACTCGTAAGGAGCAGAAACAAAGGAAGAGCTGTCAGTGAAGGCAGAAGACAAGTAGCTGTTCAGCTATACAACATTTCTCTGTGGAGTTCATATTTGGGAATTTTATTTTTCTATAGTAAGTAGACATAAGCTGAGGTAGCTCGCGTTCTCTGCAGCATTTTTGCAATTACATTTACAAAAAAGCTAAGTACATTTTTTGATATTTCAGTTGTACTTGAGGTACTGTCATTTTATATTTGAACGTTTTATATCAAATGTATTTATGGCTTTGTGTATATTTATATTCTATAAAAAGTATACTGTTAAATAAAGAGAGAGAATCAGAAAGCATTGATTCTTCTATTTATTGAACACTAGACACAGTTGTCACGTGACAGTAGCTATTTTTATTACCTTACTACTAATCACACTGTAACTTGCACTCCCACGTGAGAAACACTAAAACTTTACTTTTTGTTGTTTAACTTTTTTGTTCACGTCTCTTTGCTTCTGTTTATTATGTTTTGCTTTGTTTGCTTTGTTGTGTTGTTTTAGGGGGGCAGTGTGTGCTTTAAAGAAACCGCAAAGCTAATTGATTAGGGTGTGGCTTAGTATTAGGATCATGACGTGACAACGTCATGATTTTAATGAGATTAGATGGGTTCACGGCATAGCAGCAGGGGGATTAGGAGCAGATTTTGCATTCATTTTATTGTTAAAATGATGTCATTCCAGTCTCTTCTTGCTGACACTAATATCCTTTCTATCTTTTTTTTTTCTGTTTGTTTTGTTTTTGTTTCTAACCACCTAGCCGCCACCGGCAACTAACACATGACCTTCTGACCTCTGAACTCTTCACCCAATGATGAGCCGCCCCAAGCCTGCCTGCTGATCAGTTAACTGGTAATTGCCTTTTGCTAGCCTCTTGGACGCAAGTGACAGAGAGAGGCGCCTGCCTGTACAGTTACCCTAACACGTTCTGACAAAAAGATAGAAACCAACGCAGACTCTTCACTGAAACACACGAAACAAAAAAAAAAAGTTGTGTATTATTCATTTTCCCTCTGTTCATTAGTTAAGTTCCCATTCTCTCTCTTTCTTTTTCTCCATGAATCACGCTCTGGGTGGATGTGTTTGTGGTATTACTCATGAATCTGCACTGAATTATATAGCAATAAAGACCCCCACCCCACCCACCCGTCCTCCCTTAACTACTCTGATTCGGTGATCTCACTTGCTTTGGTCAAAGTTCAACATCTGCAGTAAAACCATTTGGTTTCAGAGTGATAACGTAATCGTCCTCAAACAGCCCCCCCCCGACCCCACCCTGCTCGAAGCATATTTTGTAGGAGCACCTACGTGCTCCCACGCTCTTCAGACATCCACCCACGGCGAGAGAAAAAGAAATGGAAGGAGCGAGAACGTCCACTTACATTAACTTGTTTAATTTCTGTCATTTTTCACATGTATTTCAGTTGAGCTCCATGTTGTAATTATGAGCTGACACATTCTGGGTGTGCCCCTCTAAACAGCTTTCTGCGTGTTTTTTTATTTTATTTTTTTTAAGCATGGCTGAAATGGTTGCTGAAGGAGCTTTTTATGATTTATGTGTTGTTGTTTTTCTTCTGTCTTGATTTTATGTTTAATTTTCTTTTGAGTCATTTTCTCCACTTTCTTTGTTTTTTTTTGGTTCAGATTTGACTAACTAGCTTAAGGAGCTAAAACCGTGCAGGTGGTTACCTCTAAACGTCAGAACACAGTTTAGTGTTTGAGGCAGGCTGCAGAAACTAAGACAGCAAGATGGGACGGTCACTATTTGGGTCGATGGGTCTCTGTGTGCGTGTGTGTTCCAGTTAATACTAAAATGAAAGAAGGGTGTGTGTGTTGAGGCTCCGGGGGCACAGCAGCAGTGCTTATTAGCTACTGGCCAATGCTACGCCCTCATCCACACTACATCCACTATCCAGTGCCTGATGTATTTAGATCGGGGGTTCCCAACCCTGGTCCTTGAGGAACACCATCTTGTATGTTTTAGTTGTTTCCTGCTTCAACACACCTGATTCTAATTAATGGGTGGTTAACAAGCTTGAAGTAATTAAATCACCGAATCAGGTGTGTTGAAGTAGGGAAACAACTAAAACGTGCAGGATGGTGTTCCTCAAGGACCAGTGTTGGGTACCACTGATTTAGATCAAATATCTCAATGAGTTAGCTGAGCTGTGATCACAAAGACAAAAAATAAGTATTGTGTGCATATTTAGCCAAAGGGTTTTCCAGTGAATTATATATCTGCAATTATGCATCTGTGTCGCAGAGGGCTCTCTTTGTGATTCTAGAGTTTGGAAGGGTGTGAACTTTTTGTGCCTGCCTTCAGCTGATACAGACAGCCAGTCAGATAGATTTTTGACCCCTTATTGTTTTTTTGTTTTTAATGAGGTGAACACAGGCAATTAACACTAAATTTTCACGCTACTCAAAATAGCTAACAATGCGTTGCTTTGTGGGGGGGGGGTGGTAAACTTCTGCACATTAAGAATATTCTATACTGAGTTGTTTCATCAGCCACATTTTTGTTTCCTTGTTATGTTTCCATTTAAAATTGGCCAATTTTGATCAAATAGGTTTTTTTTTGACTAGTGCATGATATTTTTGTGTAAGTTGAGGCATAATCAGAGCCCTCCTGCGTAGTAGACTTTTTTGTTTTATAACTTTTTGTTCTTACTAATGAAACTTCACACATACCAAACCATCCAAAAGTGCATCCACAATGTGTCACACCTCCCTCTGATTGTAGTCAAACTTCTGAGCCCACAATCCTTTGTTCAAACTCAAGAAAAAAATAGGATGTGAAAGCCATGCCTGCCTGTTCAAATTGCTTTATACATACGTCTTATATATATATATAAATATATATAAATATATAAAAATGTAGATATCTGTCATTGCATATAAAATACAGAACAAAAAATAGATAATTTTACAGGGTGCTGGAGATGAAAAAAAAATCTAAAATCTATTTTTGGCAATTTTAGCTTTTGATACTTTACTTGCAGTTATAAAATCAAAAAAGTAAACAAAAAAAAAAAAAGTTTCAGACAGTATGGGAGAAAGCAGAAAGCTGAGTGGGTGAGAAGTGCTGTTACCTTGAATATAATTGGAAAGGAAGACCAAAACAGTTTTAACCCTCGGAAAGCTGGCGAGAGCAGAGCGACACAGACGCCTAAAAGGATCAAATCAAAGTGCCTTATCAACAGTGGTTTCTGTCTTCTAGTGTTCCAGTTGTGTTCAAAAATATCCAGCACCCACTAAGATGGCGCAGAGAGGAATGGCTAGTGTTACACGCTCTGAATAGTTGAGCAGGGGCGTCGTGGCGTCACCCAAGTTATTCTATGCAACAAGAATAGCAGTCATTTTGACCAGCTAAAATATGTGCCATGGTTTTGTCTTCCTGAAATGATTTTATTTTATTTTTTCTCTCTTTGACTTGATGACCCTTTACTCTGCCGTACGAGCAGATTGTTGTCTTTTTATCTAGATTTTACTGATTATATGAAATATTGTTTGGATTTTTGGTGACTGTATCTAACTTCGTTTGAACTGCCATTTGCAACCAAGTATTCTGCCGCAACATGTTTTGATTATGAGCTGAGAAAAATGCATACAATTTTTGGGAAAATGGATAGAAGGGAAAGGGGGGGTCGTCCTGTTTGTTTCAACAACTGAAGATTGAAAACATCCAGCCCATTTGACAAGAATCTATCAATACAGTAATGAGATTGCTAATGAACAAATGAAGCGCTGGATAATGAAAGTGCAGATAAATGATTTCTAGTTATTGAAACAAATGACAGGTTTGTTGCCCGCAGGTGAAATTACATTAAACTGACAAATATTTAGATTCAATACAACCCCTGGCAGTTTTCTGTTTTATTCATATTCTCATCTTGCTGTTACACCAAAAGGTCAATGAGTTTTGGTTTCTTTTTCAGTGTTATTTTTAATGGGTTTTTTTTTTGAAATTGTAATGCAATATTAAAATGGAGCGAGAGATGGCAATTCAGCGTTTGACAGTATTAAGAAAATTCCCTCTGCAATGTTACAAACTTGCTGTGTGATTGTGAAAGGCTGGATAAGTCCATCAGGTGAAAGGTCGACTCTATACCTACCGTATTCTCTCTGGCCTGCCTTCTACATGTATGATAATGTAATTAACAGCCATTGTTACAGGTTTATAATGTATTTTTCTAATCTCATTTTATATGTGTATTAATCATGTTTCTAAATTTCTTTTATTATTATTTTTTAATGAAACCTACTGCAACTCCCCCCTCTGAACACCCCCCTCCCCCCAAAAAACAACTTCTACATCTTGAACTGTCTCTCATGGGGAGTGTTGCCTTTTCCCTGTTATATTTTGTTTTCTTGCCAATTCCCAGCTTGTTTAACTCATTAGCTACTTTATTAGTTTTCTTGTCACAAGTATTTTTACATGCTTGCATTTAGTTTTCATGGTGTATGCTGTTATTTTTCTTATTAACCTCTTGGCATTTATTTTAATAAAACATTCTTAGTAAGAATTTTACTAACTTGCTGATATTTTGTCTTGTGTTTTTAACCAGTTTCATGAATGTATTACCTTGATCTGGTTCACGGACTAACACGATTAAAACCAAAGTATGGCCCACGACTTCCACTGACTGACGAGAGCACACGTCTGAGTCGGCGTCACACACGAGCACACGCTCAACCTCACGGGAAAAGTGCACGAGTTGGGCGCTCGCTCACTTTGGCTCACACCCTTTCTGCCGACACTCTCCTGCCGTTAGCTGTCTTGTCTTTTTTGTGTCGCTGAACCTCGTAAAAGTGGTGGCGGTAGGGGCATGGGGCATGTAAGCTGCACTTTGCTTGAGGTCACTGGTTACAATTCAGTGGTTCCCAACCCTAGTCCCTGAGGAACACCACCCTGCTTGTTTTATTTGTTCCTCTGCTCCAACACAACTGATTACAGGCTTCTTCTGAACTTAAGGAAGTAATTAAATCACTGAATCAGGTGTGCTGGAGTAGGGAAACAACTAAAACATGCAGGATGGTGTTCCTCAAGGACCCGAGTTAGGAACCACTGGGTTACATTTCTGAGTCAGTGGTTCTTTCTTGAAAAAAATAAAAAAATGGTCAAAAGTGAGATTAAAAAGAAAAAACACCTAATCCCTTAAAAGAAAACATCCTTTTTACCACTAAAAGGCTTTCGCTTGCTATTAGCTAGTGTAGCGCTAATCTCAATCTGTGCAAAAATACTTCACTTTAGTCATCTCAGAAGGTTTCATTTGACTGTGAATTGTACAGTAGAACATCTCATTGGCACTCGTCATAAAAAAGGGAGTTATTTACAGTTTGACACTCGGGGCGAATTTATAGACAGCGTTTGAAAGCTGTCCTTTTTTATTGCGTCTGTATGTTGTTATGTCGTGATGGCAGCGTTACATTTGTCTCCAGCTGTTGTCCGTTTGGCGAGCACGTCTTCCCTCTCAGTTTATTAACGTCACGACTAACACTGGACCGTTTGGGAGAATAAAACACGCCAGTGCACCGTGTCAACATGAAGTGCTTTGGGGATCAAACAACCTTGGCGTTTTTTCTGGATAAAATGCTTTTACAGCTTTCAGCTAGCCTCTACTTATTGTTTTTATTGAGTTTTTTTTATTCTATATTTTCCTCTGAAACGCTGCCAGTGCTGCCTCATCCAGGGTTTCATTCAGCTCCTCTCTCCCCACTAATTGACACTGACACGCAACAAAAAGATTAACTTTATTAATCTCAATCATTACTTTAACTCACTGAGTGGTGCTTTTAGATTTATTTATTTCTGTTGTTTCCACCGTTATTTTTGTATTTTTAAGCAAAAACCCACTTTGCCTAAAGTGTTGCAAGCCTGTTCATGTCTCACCAAGCACAAAACATCAAACCTAACATCTTTCTTCTCCCTGAAATTAACTGCTCAGTTTGCGTTTTTGATCTGAAGACGGATGTTTTTTTGTTTCAACACCTGCGTTTGCACAGGCAGAAACTGGATACCAGAAAGCAAAACGTTTTTTTACTCTATCGAGATTTTTTTGTTGTCGTTTGTTTTTAAATGTCGATTTAGCTGAGGCTGTTTGGCTCGACTTCTCTAAACCTCGACGAGAAAATTCACCGTAAATCTGAAGACGTGGTGAATCTTGTACAAGTTTTTAGAAGTCGTTTTTTGAAGCACAATAAACCACAAAACCTGCCTGAAGCGTCACAGCTGCCTTTTTTTCCAAAGTGCCTCTTTTCTATGTGGTTGACAAATAACTTTTTTTTTTTTTTGTACTTTTAATATCGTTAAAAAGAACTTGAAGCCATTTTTTTGTTCGTTTCGGGGTTATGTACGTGTTTTAAACTGGAATGAGTTTGTCTAAAAAGTTTGTCACCACCACGTTTTTAAATTTTTTGGATCCACCGGGAACTTTGTTTCCTTTCTTTTAATGACTGGACCACCGTATGCAGCTGTTTGCTTCTCCAACCTGTCGCAGGGCATTCAGTGTGTTCATCTACTAACTGGCTTCTCACTTGTTAACTTTTATTTTCCTTCTTATTAACAAAACATTCCTCCACTGAGTTGGACTGCATTAATCATATTTGTCTCAGCGATGCAGCACGCAAGTGGTTTAATGGTCAAAGTTGTTAAAAACAAAATGAATTCCCCCCAAATAGATTATTTGTCTCTTTTTGACTGATATGCAGTTCAAACTACCGGTAGGTAGTTTTCCAAACGTACACTGTGGGTTCCTCATTCATAAAGGTGGTGCACTACTATCTGTAAGATTTTTCTTTTGTGAAGTTATATTCAATGTGTTTTTGTTTGTATAGGTTAGAGCTCTGAACGGGTTGTCCATGTAATGCCAGTTTTTGTTGCTCACGCCCAAAAAAAAAAAAAAAAGTAACAAAAAAGAAAGAAATTGTCAAGTGTGCAATAAAGAACCATATTTTCAAGCTTCCCTCTGACTGCTCTACCTGGACTGGTGATTGTTTTCTTTATCGGGACATCATTTCTTTGGATTTGCGATGACTTTGAA